TTAAAAAAAAATTGCAACAGTTTGTGGTATTGCATGGTGTGTTGAATTTTATAGGATAAAAACATTCAGAGATAATAATTTTTCACTACTTATGAATACTTATCTAAACAGCAAAAGGATTGCAAACTTATTCCGTCTTGTGGGGTTGATAGAGATGCAGAATCATCTTACCAAAACTTGAAATACATTAGATCAAACGCTTTGTTGTTGTTTTTCTGCCTAGCATTTTTTGTAAAATTTGAGATTATTTATTTGTAACTATATTAATTATTCGTGTTTTAAATGGTTCTTATGTAATGCTAAAATATTAAATACTTTCAATTCCTCAAATTTTCGCATTATTTGATCATTTTGAAACTGAAAAGAAAGCTGCAAAATTGTTATTTCCTATGATATACTTGTTAAATAGCATCTTTCGAAAATACATTATAAAACAAATATATAGAAATATAATATTTTCATCAAAGAAAATAGGTAACTTTAATTAGCCATTATATATATTATTCAAAACATAACAGTTCTACAAAAAATGTTGCGTTTCACATCCAAGCCCCTCCCCCCCAGTGGCACAGCGGTATGTCTGCGGAGTTACAACGCTAGAATCCGGGTTTCGATACCCGTGGTGGGCAGAGCGCAAATAGCCTATTTTGTAGCTTTATGCTTAACTTCAAACAAACAAAGCAATTCACATCCAAATAATATACATCCTATCTACAGGAACAGAATGCAATAAATATGATTTATGATCTGTATTTCATTCATGAAACTATATATGAGTGAAAATGACGAGGCGTCCTATGGGCAAAATTTAAAATTAAGAGGAAGTTTATTAAGGAAGAATAAGATAGAAAGAAGAAACATAAAATTCAATACAATCAAATCAAACACGAAAAATGATAAAAAAAAACATTACAGTACGATTCTTCAGCTCTAAAATGACCTTATTTGCACATATAAGACAAAGATATAGCAAAAAAGAAAAAGCTCAAGAGGAATAAACATATAAATTTAGTGAAATTCATCCCGAATATGTGTTGCTAGTTTCCTATATGTATACAGATACAAAACCAGCCTCATAGGGCATAATCAGTTTTTACGCCTAATCAAAAACTTCAGCGCCTGCCAAAGAATAATTAGAGATTGTTTAGGATGCCGAAGAGTAAACATTAGCTGCTACAAGTAGCAGATTTAGGTACGTGTGATAAAACGAGTCTTGTGTTTGAAAGTTTAAATAGCATAATCAAGAATCATGTTAAATACCGCCTCTATAAAAACCAATGAAGTGAAAGATGAAACTTGTAATATTTGTCAGATGAAGAATCTGCCTGATAAATAGGGCTGCGAGATGAATTTCCAGGCCTAATTCTAATTTTCTCATTTTCAGAAATATTGACAATAAAAGAATAGTGTGCTACCTCCAACAGTGTCGAATTTCAATAAAACTGTTACTTTTCCCTTTAAATATATATCTGTTGTTACACTTTCACAACCATTGAATACAATTTTTTAACACGGAATATCACCAAAAAGTTTAGCATTACTAACACTGTAAAAGACAACAAGGATACTTCGTTGTTTCGTGCTCAAACTTTCCTTTGTTTATTTCTTTTAAATAGTAATTACGTTCAGCTGATTTTAGAAACTCCAACCACAGCACGAACCAATGGTATGACTCATAACCCCGAGGTTATCCAGAGAAGATTAGAAGATTATGCACTAGACCCCAATCTACGTGAGCGCACAATATTAAGGAGCTTTATGGCAATCAGTCACCTAATTGATAAATCTACAGAGAAATAAATAAATATTAAAGAAAGCATAAAAAGGAGCCGCTTTTGCTACGGAACAGAAGAGTATGGTAATCATTATTTTCAAACAGAAAAGTACATGTGTCTTGTGGATTAATCGTCAATGTCAGAGACCCCATGGTTCATCGCCATTCTAATTTAGAACTACTGACCATATGGAGGGAAAACAGTCAGCATCAGTTGCAGTTTAAAAGGCATTTATTAAGCGAATTGACTGTCACTTTTATAACGAGCCTGAAACTGTTAAACTGCATAACGCGTACTTGATCATTAGACTCGATGATACACAGTCCAGCACACTGACACTACTGGTTAAAAAAAAAATCTAGGATGTTACAATAAACAATTTTTGAACATCTACTCATTTTTCTATCAAGAAATGTAGATTAAGTGATAAGTTCATTTTGATTATTAATTATTTTAACTAAACGAAAATTTACGTAATAGTACATTTTAGCAAAAATTCATTAGTTGAGAAAATTATTTTATTGTATTGTACTTATGTCTGGAATACCTGTAATAACAAAATTAGGGGAAGTTTTGATAAAACGTCCACCTCAGTTACGATTGTGTTTATCACTGATTAAGCTAAATGTCATAAAAGAAGAAAATAGTTTAAAATTAACCCTTTTTTATTGTAAATGTCATTTGTAGTTAAAACAAAGATAAAACATAGACTTGTTTAGATACTGAACAAATCGAATTCTTGAGGTTGCGTGATTTTACATATAGGGTTGAATAAAACGGTTTCCGAAGATGAGATAAATGTTCTACATCTAACTCATAACAGCATGGCCTAGTGGCTAAGGCGCTCTATTTGCAATCTATGAGTCGGAGGTTCGAATATGCTCACCCTTTCAGCTATGGGACGTTGTAATGTGACAGTCAGACCCACTATTCGTTGGTAAAAGAGTAGCCCAAGAGTTGGTAGTGGGTGGTGTTAACTAGCTACATTCCTTCTAGTCTATCACTGCTAAATTAGAGACATCTAGCGCAGATAGCCCTCGTGTAGCTTTGCGTGAAATTGAAAACAACCTAGATGAAACTCATCACAACTGCAATTTAAAATAAATACTAGATTTAAATCACCCTCAATCATCATTCAGTACTCACGGAAGAGATTGCGAAAGCCGTGAGCTATGCCTAAGTTACCTATGACAATGGAGCAAATGATGGTAGGTACTAGAAGAGGAATGTCTTAGTCATTCTTTTACACCATATTCGGCTGTCTAGAAGACCTTATTGTTTGAAATCAACAAAGTGAAATTACCTAAAATATCTTCTTTGTAACCATAAAGAAATTCAAAATGCTTAACTTAGAATAACCTTTTTCAAAAACAAAACACTAAAGTCACGTTTTGCTCATTCACATTCGCATCCATTCTCCAGTTTGCTTATGCTAGGGGTCACATAAAAATAACATGTTAATTTATTTTGATGGAAGCACGTCATAACTGCTAATATATAGTGATGGCCGTATTACTGAAGTAATAGCGACATACCTTACGTCCCTATATGTGAGGTTATTCAGAAGGTTTCATCATGTGTGGTTGTTGGAAAACTTTTTCCGAGACTTATTTTTTCTGTTTATTTTAAATGACTCTATTCATCTGTTACAGAGGTTGAGTACGTTTTTGTAAAACAATTTTAGAGAATCATTACAGTATTGCGTTCCGTATCACAACGTCCAGTTATGCTCTGTCTGACAGCCGAATTCTTCACAATAGGTCTGCATTGTAATTTCCATTCGAAATAGCTCCGTCATAAAGCTGTTTTGTCAATAGTACAACACTGCTCCCTGTTTGCTTTCCATAAGCCATCTATTGCGCGAGGACGACGGTTTCCAGGATCCATTTCACCAGTACGAACCCACATAAATCAATAGTCGACTTGTTCGATACATCTTCGTATCGAATAGCATGAATGCCCGTTTCAGTCACTAACTGCTTGAAGTATGAGACTGTTGAACAGATATGCCGTGGGAACTAGTTGTGCTCACGTAACTTGTATTGCTCTTCCAGACAGAGATACTTCTATATTATGTTTTGTAACGTTACCTGGGACAAGTAGGTGGCTTTTGTCATTGGCATTTCTATTTGTGTAGTATCACCTGTTACAAAACGCCGCACTTTGCTTACCATGGCGTATGATTTATTGCAGGTCTCTTTCTGGATGGTCCTGGTGCCCCAAGTTGATCCATCTTTTTTTGATTCCCAATGTAATTAAGTACAAAAAATATACCCGTCTTGTAAATTCTATATCTCCGATCTGAACACATTTTTCTGATCTGAGTGTATGAATATGTTGCGTCGGAAAGGCCTGTTACATACCCTTCCAAAAAGCGATCAATTTCTGGTGGCATCACACTACCTACGTAACTGCAAACAAAGTTAAAATGCAGCTCTGATTCATGCCGTTGCACCGCAACTTTAAAATTGGTTTTTGTTTTTATGTGGCTTGCTGATTTACATATTTTATATTATTTCAATATAATGTACTCATCTCTCTGTATATTCACACTGCTAAAAGTAAAGACTACTACGGACATTACGCTTTCAGTTTCTTTCACATGAAACATCTTCGAAGGTATGTGAACGATATGTATATTTAAGTTTCAACATCCATTGAATCCTTTCACAAAATAAAGAACAACTGTCAAAGTTTTAAGTTAAGAAGGTAAACTCAACAAGGAAATTCAGATAAACGGAAGATACAACTCATCTAGTTGATTTCTATAGTAAAAATAGTTATATTAGAAAGTGTCATATACATAATCGTATTGAGTAGTTAGTTATGGATATTATGCTGTTCAGATCTCGACAACAATAAAAAAAAACGACAGTGAAGATTTTTTTTGAAATATTTATTTGAATAAGGTAAAAATAAGAGTTCTTGTCCGTCTTATGAGATGTTTGTAGAAAGTTCTACCAAGATCATGAAAATGTCGAGAGCATCTTAAGGCGTGAAGAGGATAATGTGTAATAAAACAATTGTAGTGGATGCTTGAAAAAAAAGCTTAATAAACAGTGCTAGCCATTTCATAAATCAAACATAAACCCACCCATCAGGAGACGTACTGTCGGCAGAAGCCACTACCAGTGACTTCGTGATGAGCATCCATCACGCACGCGCAGATATATCGCGTTGGTAGCTCCTGCCGACCAGCCTACACGGAATATTGCCGATGTACGAGATTAGTCCCGGCGAAACTCAGAGCCTTCTCCGAAACACAGTGGGGACACTGCGTCAAGCAAAGTTTGAAAAATCCTGAGCGTGTGTCAAAGGCATAGGTTCCATCATGCTTCCTCTCTAACAACCTTTGATTGCATGATGATGGCAACAATTTTCTTATACTTAACGTTGGTATTACATTTTTCTCGGAGTTTGGGAGACGAAATACCTATAGGTAGGATAAAACTAATCTCACAATTCTTTGTTTGTTTTCTGTTAAGGTAATCAAAGATATTATTATTCTATTATAAGAGATGATGCATACTTTATTTCTTTTTAACCCAAGTTTACATTTAAATATGCCGTCACCTCCAGTTATTTCTTACTTAGATTGTTTTTCTCTCGACTTGAGTTTAACATTAATAAAGGCCCTGAAATTCGTCGAAAGAGACCAAGTAGATATAAAGGTTGTGGGAGACGTTTAAAACAGCTGTCATCAGAACTCTAGGTTGTATAGCATTCAACCGACAAATACAGATTTAATGAACATGGAATATAAGCTAGACTTTTGGAACGAAATACTAACACATGTTTAACTTACAAAAAAGTGCTTTTTATCAAACCATGATACAGGTATAAGACGTAACAGGTGATAGAACTAAATTATTAACGAAAGCTATGCCGATTGAGAGGTGAAGCTGCTACCTACATTAAAGTGTAATAATCGAAACGACATTTATTAGTTGCTGATTATAATGTGTATATTGACAAAGTTTCGTTTGTCTTTGTTTCTTTCATAAAAAATGGCGAATGTATGTTGTTGATATTTTTGTGTGTTTTATCGAAATAGACATAACTTAAAGCTTATGTATTTGCAACATGTCCAGAAAGAAGTCAAGTAAACCTAGAAGTTTCTGAAACGTTTGAAAGAGGTATCGCACTCCACCGACAAACACAGTTTTAATGAAAGTCTAAATTAAGTCCTTTTTATTTGTTTTTGTTGTTAAGCGCAAAGCTACACAATGAACTATCTGTTCTGTGCCCAACTTTTAGCTATACAAGTCCACAGACTTACCGCTGAGCCACAAGAGGACACCAACCTTTTAAAACGAAATATTAAAACATGTTTAGCTTACAAAAAGTGCATTATAACTAAGGTATGATACAAAAAAAAGATGTAACAGGTAATAGAACGAAGTTTTTAACGAAAGCTGCTTCAGTTAAGAGTTGGAGCTGGTACTTACATTAAAGACTACAAATTCTATGGAGGATTACGGGTCACCGTAAAAAAATGCGCAAATGAACAGCCAGTACTTACTGTTCTAAAATTAGAGTATTTTGGAAGTAAAAAAAAACCCAGAGAAAATGGAAAATTAACTATATGATAAAGATGTTTCTTAATGTTTCCCCCTTTAACATAAGTATTTAACTTATTATTATGACTTAAGACTTGTGTTGTATTGAAAAGTAATGTTGCAGATTCTAAAAACAACTCCCTAAATATACAGAATGTAACAAAAACAATGCCTCAGTGGAATACCTTATATCAGGAATATATCATAGAAACATGCCAATTCTGGATAAGTATTAGCATCTTAAGCACTACATTTTGACATCTCGCTAAGCATATTTACGGAAAGTATTAACTTTCATAAAACCTATAAGATCTTGTGATAATAATATAATGTTTGGAATTTAAATCTACTTAATGCTTAAACATTTTACATAATACTTAAAGAAACATGTTGAATACCATAAAGGGCAAATATAATTTCAAATTAAAATAGATTGGATGATATAGGTAACAAGTTTAACCTATTAGGCTGTGCAGTGAACATAGTAGTTTTATAATATTCGTTCATAATCTTTACCAGGTACTACACTTGTATACTTCTTACTTAAGTGCAAATGTTAAGGAATTTCGTTTCTGATTTTAGGGTTAACTATCTTATTTAGTGTTTAATATAGTTATTGTTGAGGAAATGATGGAATGAATATATGCATGAAGTAAGTACACGTTAACCAAATATTATGAACGTTTCGCATGTTTATTCTAATGTAACAGTTGAATAAAATTACTTTGAGGTATAGATTGAATGTAATTTTTTTAAGTTAGGATATGTTACGGATATATTCATACTATATACTAATTATTTCATCAGAGCAATTTCTGGACATAAGTTTCTTTATTGTTTGTTCCAGAGGATACGGAACCAACGTGCCAACGCATAACTACAATATTCAAACCAAGTAGAGCAAGCACACTATATCAGATAAATATATATTATTGAAATAATAATAATTGGCCCAAAACTCTAATACCTTCGCTTTTTAAAGTGCTTTTAACATAAGTAAATTCATAGACCCTCACATGTTAATGTTTAAATTGTAATAATCAATAGTCTGTTTTTATCTAATTGATAAAGGAAAATAAGAGATAAACTTTAAAAGGTAACGTATTGAAATATTAATCAGGGACAACAGTTTGTTTAACTCCAAAGTCAGTTTTTTTATTACGTCACGTTTACATGTCTCATAATTACGTTTATCATTAAACTCTTGAATGCCATATCAACTTTTTGAATAATATGAAATTTATAAAGAACATCAGTTAATACGCTATAGACTTGATGCTTTAGAAAGAGTTTGATTTGAGCTCTTCTAGTTTTATTTTTGTTAAGCAACACATCTAAGAGGTTAAAATGCCTTTAATGTTAGTCTTTACTTCATTGTTTTTAAGTAAAGAAACTAGCAGGATTTCTAAGCTATATAAATAGTATTAGTATCTATGCATTGCATTTTTTAAGATTATGAGAATTAGAGTATAATTGGAATGCCCTAAAAATGAGGCGAATATTCGACCAAAAAACTAATGACGTTTGAGTCTTGCCTGGAAAGTAAGAGCATGGATTCAATTTCCAATTAAATGAATTTCACGTCTCCAGTGAATTAACAACTTCATAGGATTATCAAGTTAACAATATTTATGATATTCACTTATGTTATTTATGAAACACAATATTAAGCTATTATAAAAACACATCTTTAGAGAAAATTCTTATATAGTTTTTTTTATAGGTTGAAAACAGATTGTGTCAGAACATAATGTTATCAAGTTTAATTATTAAATAAGGTCATTTCTCTATGTGCGGTGTATAGGAACTGTGCTTTATAGTGAAAATTGTGGATTTAAAACGGGTTATATTAGTTTTTATTTGTTTGTTTACTGAATTTTGTGCGGAGGTAGCCGTACCTAATTTTGATTTAAGGGAAGGCAACTACTCAACACTACCCACTATCAATTTTTGGTCTACTCTTTTACTAACGAATGGTGGAATTGACTGTAACGTTATAATGTCCCACAGCTGAAAAGGCGAGTATATTCGGTGACGGAATTCGAGCCCACGACCTCGCAGTTTGTAAGTCGAGTGCCCTAACCACCAAGTCATTCCAGGTTTTGTATTAATGCCAAGATCTCTTTAAATGTATTTGTCTAATTAAGATTTTTATAAGCTTACTTTAAACTGAAGATATGTTATTTAAGGTAAGGTTTTAGCACTAAAATATTCATCTACGTCGCACGTGCACGTTGAAACTCTTTAATATAATCAATTTCATACAACAAATGTATACCATTAGATATAATATTCAGGGACCCAACTTAAACTAAACATTGATGATGAAGCGGTGCACATTAAAACTGATTGCACACCAAAAACACTCTTATAGCTGACAAATGTGGACTGGAAATGGTCTATAACAGCTTTGGGTCCTTATATCAGCTGTTAACTTTGCTGTTTACTTTAGTGTTTCATAATCATAACATCTAATGAGGCTATTATGACAATCTTTTATGACCCTACACACTACTAATTGTATACAATATACACTAACATATAACTATTTATCATTTTCTTATATGTACAACGCACAGGGGGCATATTCACGCCTGGCACCAGCGAGATGAAAACGGCATTCATCTACTTCCTGCATATGCAAGATATGCCCCGGCAGTCAAGAATGAAAGTGAAAAGTATACCAGAGGAAGTAGATAGCGATGATCCCTTTAAAGTCGCCAGGGAACGTAAGTATATATATATATATATTATTTATTTACTTTGGACACAATCAGTTCACAAATTATACTCTCGTTTAGTGCTTACTTAGTTAAATCGAAATAATCAAGTAAACTACACAGTTATAGTACGTTTGCACGGTTCTTATAAAATACAGTCAGTAATTTAATAGAAATGGCATTAAAGGTATATCATGTGATTTTATAAGACATTCGAAGATATTAGATATATAGTTGGATGACTATTTCTTCTTTATACGGAGGAATTATTATCATTATTATTTATTGATAACATGCTTGGTGAATTATCGTTTCCTTAATAAGGAAAAAAAAACCTCTTTGTAAGCATGCGCCGAAATTTGTAATAATTTATTATTTTAGCTATTCAGGCTAATGTAATTAATTATCAATATAACTCAATCAATCAATAAGTAATTATGAATACATTTTGGTATCACTACTTATATTTTATGTCATTAATGACATTATATAGTTATCATAATTTGTCTGTATAAGTTAGTGCTTGAAGAAATTACTCTGCGTAACTAATTTCATGTGAGAAAAGAAAATTATCTTAAAATGTACGAGACTGTCGAAGATAACCAATTATGACAAATATCATGAAGTTTATTACATAATAATATAACATTTATTGGACATTGAAATTTATACTATGCACTAGAGTAAACAACTTGTTTTAGATCAGGATACACGTCTTGTCTTAGATCAGAATACACTTCAAAAATGTTTTGAGTATTTCACAACTGCAATATAAACGTAGTCATATGCCATATTCAAACCTCTGCTTGGTGTCACAAGTAAGTTTGAATAATTAGCTTAAATGGATGATGAAATGAAACGTAAGTGTGATCTATTTGTATGTTTTTGCTTCCGTTAGAAAAATTACAAATGCATTTAGAGCAATAATTTAACATTGACTGTAAGGCCGAGAATTTAAAGATGACTATTTTTTATGTATTGTAATTGTAACTAAACTAAATTGTTTATTATAAGTTCATTGTATAGTTGAATCTGAAAAACTAAATTGAATTAATGACTATGTACAATTTATTAAAATAGAATGAGTATCCGTTCTGTGTCTAGTGATTTTAGCTGAAAAATTAATTTCATACCTATAGACTTTTTAGCTGCGCATCTCGCTATTTAGCTCAGATTCAGTTATAGTTAACATGAAGTTACATTTGTGTAACATCAATAGTTGAAACATTTTAGTTTCCTAAAATGAAAATTGAAATAAATCAAAATGAGTGCTGCATAGATAAGTTTACTTCGCAATTGTTTCATTTAATCTACAAACTCAAAGTACTCTGGGCGTCTTCGAGAAATTTACGTTGATATGTGTCTTTCTTAAAGTCCCAACCAACAAACGTACGTCTATTGACTACACTTTACTGAAGTTTATTGTTTTTAATATACTTAACTGTTTACACAATTATATGCTATGTTTAATCAGCTACATGAAATTTAATTATCCTAAATGACTCTGACGTAGAAACACACCTTCATTGTTCCGTGTGCTGCCGATCCTCTCTATGTCCTACATATTGTGGGCTACATAAAATTTAGTTATCCTAAATGACTCTGACGTAGAAACACACTTCCATCCTTCCGTGTACTGCCGATCCTCTCTATGCCCTACATATTGTGGGCTACATAAAATTTAGTTATCCTAAATGACTCTGACGTAGAAACACACCTTCATCGTTCAGTGTGCTGCCGATCCTCTCTATGTCTTACATATTGTGGGCTACATAAAATTTAGTTATCCTAAATGACTCTGACGTAGAAACACACCTTCATCGTTCAGTGTGCTGCCGATCCTCTCTATGTCCTACATATTGTGGGACTCTTTTAATGTCGTTTTCTATTTTTTTCTCTCGGGTTGACCATAATCTGGTGTTTAGTTATGCAATATCATGCGCAGATGTCTATAAATATATCTATCTACTTACCGTTTTGTTTTTCTCCATTGTGAACGTGAGTTGACATGAAAGCAAAATTTATCTTTCTATTTTATATCCATGGTGTAATAAAGGTACAATAAAAATTAGATGCTGAAGTTTTATCATAAGAAATTGTTTTTAACACTTTGCATGTGATGTTAAGCCTGAACATATTATGATAACGTGCTTTAAATCGCCCTACGCAGATAATTATATTTTTTTTCAACAGGCCTACAACTCAATAGCAGTTATAAAACTTTCTTCTCTTAGTACTATTTTCATTTAATTGTTTGTTTTGAATTTCGCGCAAAGTTACACGAGGGCTATCTGCGCTAGCCGTCCCTAATTTAGCAGTATAAGACTAGAGGGAAGGCAGCTAGTCATCACCACCCACCGCCTACTTCTTTTACCAACGAATAGTTGGATTGACCGTCACTCGCAGTTTGCGAGGCGAGCGCCCTAACCATCTGGTCATACCGGGCCTTTGGTTTAATGGATGTGAGAAACCAAAAGGTTATCAGTATGTTTATCATTAGAATCAAAGACATTTTTGGACGATCTAAGTGGTAAAGTCTGAAAATTTTAAAGCAATTAATTCAACACTACTTTGTAAATATAGTTGCCTTTCATTTACCCATTTCTGAGGTATTTTCCTGTAAGAAATTAATAAAGCAGGAAAAATTTAATTTACTTGACAATGTTAACATATAGACCAGAATTTTTACGGTAATATGTGTTTTTAAAATTTAACTTCGAAATTATAATTTTACTCTGACAAGTAGAATTAATCATAGTTTACAATGTTTTTGCTAACATCTGGCAAATTTTTTCATCTCAGCAACGTAAACCATGACTATAGTGATTTTACCTAGTGTGTACATAATAAAAATAAATATAGTACTACTATAATATCTACCAAACATTTAAAGAAACCAACATTACAATGAAGTTTGAAAGACATGCGATGTTACATTTACCAAGGATGATGGTCTATTAAGTCATTTTTTACATTACAAAAATAACTGCACTAAAAATCAAGTTTTGGTAAAAATGTCTGCCCTTTTTCACGCTATTTGCGCTGTTTATAGCTCTTGTTTCTTTTTTTTTTTTACAAGTGTTAATAAAATGAAATTCTTAAGTGAGATTTTTATAAATTTATTTTAAAATATTTTTAAAGCCTTTTCATTAAAAATATTGATAGCAGGGAATAAAATAACGCGTATTCTCTCTGCTGCTTTTTTACCAGCAAATAGTAGGACTGACGGTTACGTTATAACTGCCCTACAGCTGAAAGGGCGAGTGTATTCGGCAGTGGTTTCGATACCGCAACCTGTAAATCATGTGCCGAGCACCCTAACCACCAGGTCATGCCTGTCCCGACTATTTTAGAACGATATTTTTAAGTTGATACCGTCTGGTCATTTTCGATGGCGAGGAACCCACTTTGAGACTAATAATGGTTGGAGACGGCTTGAATGGGTAATGAAGAGAAACTTTAATATAAGTTTAACATAACAGCAAATGTACAACGTTTCGACAAGGTCATCATCGTCTGGTCATTTGTTTGTAGGGCTTTGTATTAGCGACACCTACCGTATTGAATATTTTCAATCAAATTAAAAACGGTATAGAAGACACTGTGGGACCATATGATTTTAATAGTATAATAAAACTATATAAGAATAACTGTGAAAAAACTATTCTGCTAAAAAACGCTAAACAAACCCCTAAAATGTTAATGTAATAAATAATGAACAAGTAAAACATAAGTATCAATATATCATATTTTTTTTAGGAATGCAGAGTTTCGATACGAGGATTGCTATCTATAGTATCAGGTAATGTTTTTCTTACCAGACCAACAAATCGAGTTTCGTTTACCTAATACTGTTTTAAAACTTTCCGTTTACTCTAACTACTAAAATCTGATGAATAGGCATATTACGCCATTAATTTATTCTAATGTAATATCAGTTTACGTAATAGTAATAAATTATAAAAAAAAGATATGTAGCCAATTATTGAAAACCAAGCTAACATTTATCATTATATTCACTGAGCAGCTGGGTCGGTAAGTATATCATAAAAACAGAAAACTAACAAAGTACTGTAATTGAAATATTTACTACAAGGAATTTATTTAATGCATGAAAACACTAGTCATGTATACTATATTGTAGCTGAGCTAATTATTACACATGTTAACGTTAGGCTTAAAAATATCATATTGTTATCATTGGAAAATATTAGTTATATTAAACAAAAGCTATTATGGATACCAGACACTATAACCAGGGAACAGCAACGCACTATGGAGGACTTTAGACTTCATTCCTATAAGGACAAAATTGTGTGGACGTTAGACATACCATGTTTATATAGAAGAGAAAATATATTTCTAATATCAGACCGTATTCCTATAAGGAGAAAAACTGTGTTATCAGACCGTATTCCTATAAGGAGAAAAACTGTGTGGACGTTATACATACCATGCTTATATAGAAGAGAAAACATATTTCTAATATCAGATCGTATTCCTATAAGGAGAAAAACTGTGTGGACGTTAGACATACCATGCTTATATCGTATATAGAAGAGAAAACATATTTCTAATATCAGGTCGTATTCCTATAAGGAGAAAAACTGTGTGGACGTTATACATGCACTGCTTATATAGTATATAGAAGAGAAAACATATTTCTAATATCAGGTCGTATTCCTATAAGGAGAAAAACTGTGTGGACGTTATACATGCACTGCTTATATAGAAGAGAAAATATATTTCTAATGTCAGACCGTATTCTTAGGCAACTTAAACTATTTTGCGGATACCAAACTTTATAGTTAGATGTCACAATTTTCCTAAGAAGCGTTTCAGGAAAAGCAGACGCTATTTCTACATGAAGCATTTTTTATTTTATTATGCCAGCCATTATATTTTTGGAGGAAAATGTTTTAATACAGGACCTTACTTTTAAGTAACTACAACTTGTTTTGGTTTCAAACAGCATTCCTACATGGGACATGTTACTCAACCCACATACT